GAGCAAATGCGATTTTCGTTCAAATTTTTTCTCACATTTGTCACATGCGTGATTTCTCTGACCATCGTGTACTACTTTTTGGTGTCTGCTCAAATCAAATTTTAGACAAAATTTCTTCTCGCACTTATCGCATGCAAAATCTTTCCGACTTTCGTGAGATATCTTTTGGTGCCTCGACAAATCTGATTTATATCCAAATTTCTTCTCGCACTTATCGCATGCAAAATCTTTTCGATTTTCATGAGATACCCTTTGGTGCCTCAACAAATTTGTTTTAGATCCAAATTTCTTCTCGCATTTGTCGCATGCAAAATCTTGGCAACCTTCGTGGACCGTCCTTTGGTGAGAAATCAAATGCGATTTTCGTCCAAATTTCTTTTCACACTTATCACAAGCGTAATCTTTACGACCTTCGTGGACTATCTTTTGGTGTTTAGTCAAAGAACTTCGATGTCCAAATTTCTGATCGCAATTTTTACATGCGAAATCTTTGCGATTATGATGAACTGTATTTCGGTGTTTCATCATGTTTTTTTCCAGTGCAAATGACTCTTGACAAATATCACAAACTACTTCAGATTTTTTCTTACTAATATTCATGTAGGTGCCTAAGTTAACCAATGGATACTTCTATTTAATGTCACGAAATAAGAATAAATAAAATTTATTTTCTGGTATTATGCCTCGTTTTGATGTTAAAGACAAAAATCACTCTATCATTTGTTTGGCTAGAAACATGCTCAGTGTTGAAAAGGCGCTTTCATGACTGTTTATACTCGTATTGTTGATAATCAAGTCTAAAATTTATTTATTTGTATATTGTCCGCATATCTTTGAACTATGTCAAAATTCCTTGCTTAGCGGTGATTGGAAAACATTTTCTAGTCTCATAAAACCAAGTACGTAACAAGAGTTCCCAGTAATATACAAAGTAAATTATCACATTTATTACTGTATAATCATATTAATACATCAGTCAGATTCGAAATTTTTTAAATTTATGCGCGTGAACAATTATTAGATTTTTACGTGACAGGGACTTTTACGTGTCAAAGTACATAAGTATGTATTTTATCAAAATGGGTCAAAAATCTTAATAGGTTTGCTTAAAAATTTATGTAGATATATTGTGACAATCATAAAAAAACTTGACTTTATCTTTTAGATTTTCTGAACTTATGCATGACTTCTAGATTTCATGTGAAAAAACCCTTACTTGGTTCTCATCGATTTTTTAATTTAACCGACGTAAAAACAAATCCACCAGCGAAAGATTTAACTTCGAATTAAATATTACACGAAAAATTTGCTTCTTCTGATGTAAATCCACAAAAGTTCAACGACTTGTAGTCATTCCGTTAAAATTAATTTTTCTAGTATTTCTCGATTATTGTGTTGAATACTAGTATTTCAATTGACTGCGCACCGAAGTTGTGTCAAATATTTTTGCAGCGGCATCACGTCAAAGTCCTCACTTCTTGGCGGTAACAAATAGCGCACAGCCTCTCTTGCTTATATCTTACTCATATTGAGTAAAAAGCTTTTGTGATATTAATAAATTAAATGCCATCTGCCAAACAGTATCATTAATTTTATAAACTAAGTTCAGGCGTCCTTCGTTATACGCGGAGGTAACCCTTACTCTTTTGGGAAATGGAGGGTTACGTTTATCAATATCGATAATCATTTGATAAACGTATATCGATAATGATTTGAAAATCGAAGTACATTATATATTGTGTATATGAGTAAAACTTGTGAAATTTCAATATTTTTCTATTAAAAAAAAAGTTTGTTTTAGAGCACACTTGTGTAACTTTTTTATAGACTTACTAGTGATTTAGAAACCTGAAAAAAGTAGTGTCCATAAAATTCAGGTAAGGCCTTCGAAGATTTAAAAAAACACATGTTAAAGCTGAAGCTTATGAAACATATATAAGATGTTAAATCGGAAGGGGAATGAGCAAAACAAAATTTTGATTCGTCTAAAACAAAGAGAAATTTTATTTAAAAATTTAATATTTAAATTCAAGATCGCACGTGGCGATTACTAACCTAAAACAAAGAGAATCGATAATTAAACGTTTGTACTCCCTCCTCTCCTGTCCATTCACAAATAAACCAACCAATCCAATCAATTTCAATCAATTACACAAATTAACTCGATAAATTTTATAACTTAGAACTATCTTGATTCCTTTTATATATTTCTTTTTTTAACTTTAATAATTTTATGAGTATTCCAAGAAACTTGCTTTCTCCTTTCTTCTTCTTCTCTTCTTCTTCTCTTCTGCTACTTGGCTGTGGTGACATCTAGCCCATTTCTGTGTAAGCGTGTACTACACATAGCTTACACATATTTTTGAGACAATACGCTATTGCTGAATGTGGTTAAAATAATAATTTTGCGATACTCAAAAAATGGCACTCGGCATTATATTTCCCAAAATATCAAAAACTAGAATGGGCATACATATACGAATTATACCATGTAAAGTATAACTATTGATGTGCCACGCGAAATTGACTTGAAAGGCACTCGAAATCAACAATGGGCTTTCTCTATGAGAAAGCAAAAATAAATCACTACTTGTTTATTTAAATTTTAAGATTAATAAAGATCTCGCGTAAAAGTGACTCAAATAAAAATTAGTATCGGTCACAATAATTTCGATGTCTCATTTCGCGTTCGATTTTTATTAAATGCAAGGATTTCAATTTTTTTCAATCTGCTCAGCCTCGCTGATACACGCCAAATTTGTTTTTCACAAAGACAAAGTTATCGTCGATAAAGGAGCCATTTTTTCTTGGTGATAGCGGTCAATCGATTAACATCATTATATCGGAGCACAGCTCCCTTTGGTATACACAAAGCGGAGGGAATCGCTCGAAAAAAAAGAGCAGCCAACGATTTTGCCCAAGCCAAGAGAAAGAGAGCTATAGAGATTTTAATCGACTGGGCTTTCTTTTATATCACTACTATCTCGGGGCTCTGCTCTTGACACTCCGCAGCGCAGCGTGCAGGCACACAGCCATCTCGTGAAAATAATGAGCGATAAAAGTCCGAAGCAGCAGCGGCAGCGGCGGGTTCCTTTCTCCCTCGCGACGAACGACAACGATGCCTCTTAAAACTACAAGAATTATATATCTTTCGACGACGAGGCTTATTAGGTTAAATTCCGTATTTATTTCTGTATTACGAGCTGACGATAAAATCGACTCTCGCGTCGAATGAAAATTAATTCCCGCTTGCGCTCGCGGGAGGCTAATTCGCGGATCCCGCCGCCGCGACGTATGCTTTATGCGCTGTAACTGCCGCAGTATGCCTCGGTGTAATTCTGGAATATATACATATTTTCGTTGCGGATTATGCTGCTGCGGCTGCGGCTATACATATATGGCGCACTCGTTAGATCCTCTCTCTCTCTCGTCTCTCTTCGACGTCGTGATCAAACGTCGTCGTCGTCGTCGTATGCTGTGCTACGCGCCGCGCCACTTTACTCAATTATACGAGATTCCAAATTAGTGGAGAAATTTTACGGCTGAAGCCTCGTCGCTCTGTATTACCCGCGCGCCGCGCCGCGCCACAGCCTCCCATTTCCAGGAAAGTCTCTCTCTCTCTCTCACTCTCACTCTGAGAGCTGTAGCAGTTGATAATTCACTCTCGGGGGGCGAGGGGGAGAGAGGTATATGGCATCGCCGTGCTAGTAGTAGTGCCTTTCCTAAGTGTAATTAGCACGCCACGCGCAAACTTATGTCGTTTGCATTCATTCGCATTGCAACTACGACAATTAGGCTTGGGAAACTTGACCTAATTGAAAATACAGCAGCCGAGGCGCGGTGCGCGGGAATTTACGCGCTCGCAGCTCGCAGCTCCTCTGTACTATACGCGTTTATTTGAGGAGGGAGGCTCCATAGTATGGATATAATGGTACGCGTATACATACACATCGGCGGGGGTATAAAACTCAATTTTTCGCGCGTCGATGCGCACAAAAGCGTATTATATATATAGAGAGCTGACGAGAGAGAGAGAGAGAGAGAGAGAGAGAGAGAGAGAGAGATAGACAGAGGGAGGAAAAAAAATGGAAAAAGATTGAAATGAAATTTTCGTCGGTGAAACAAATGAATGGGATAACTGATATGGACTTTCCATTTAATATCTGATGACTGAACACAATGTATCCATCGCCGGCCCCTCAGGTGCAGGCGTGTGACAGATTCTCTACCGCAACTGCTGCTGCTGCTGCTGCTGCCGAGCTTCGGTTATATGCGATTCGAATACTCGAAATCTTTTGAATTTCAGGTATGACTCTCTGTGTGTACGTATGTAGAAAAAAATTGAGTTATACCAGCAGAGGTTGAAGCGATTGTACGTTTTGTATGACAAAGTGTCGACGGGTATTTATTTCTTTTCATTTTAAATCTTTATTATTTAATATTATAAATATTTTTTACCAATTCGTAAGGGATTTTAACGATTCCGAATTTTGTCAGAGCTATTTAGAGAAAAAATGTTCAGCTTTAGCTAACATCGAGAGACATTGGGAAAAATGTCGAAAAAGGCAATTTTTGTTATTTTACAGTTGCAGAAAAGGACGTTTGAATGAATATTAAATGTTATGTTTTGTTTGTTTAATTTGAAGTTTCAAACACGCTTTAGAGTAATTATTTTTGACATTTTAACAGACTACATTATTAGCCATGAACCGTTTAAAATAAATAATGTATAAATTATGTGACAAAAAGGGAATAATGTAAAAAATAATGTAGTTCCAATACAGCAATGAATTTTCCTCGATTCGATGAATTCTTCCAGTAAGAATCAAATGAATAAATAAAAAAATAAGATTGATGTTCATTGTTACTAAAGACAATGACTATGTTTAAAAGCCATAATAATCAACTAACTTCAGCTATATTATATTGTATAATAATAATAATGAAATTATTTGGTATGCTTTACAGGGTAAATAATTAAAGTACGATTCAACGATCGATTCAGTTATCAATTTATCGTGAGTACGATTCATTTTTTTTATTTATTTACAAATTTCAGATGACGCGTAAAAAATCTACACAATTACATTAGACACAAAAAGTCTCTCATTTTTGTAAAATTATTTCATCGCTACGATGTACATACTCATCCAAAGTATGTATCGAAATCTCAAACTTTGAGTTTACAATTGAAAATTCGTACGCATACGAAATATGTTTTTTCTTTCAAGGGATACTCGTTAACGACTAATTATTTATTTATTTACGTGCCGTGCCTTGCATCCTTGGCCTGATCGGTGGCCAAGCACGCGTTCCACATATCCTGTGTGCTCAGGCTCTCGCAGACTTTTTCGCAGCACTCGAGCGGCAGCGCGTAGCCCAGCGTCTCGCAGACGGCCTCCGCTGCCAGCGGCAGGACGAATTTTCGCACGAGCATCGCTGCCATCCTCGCCTCGATCAGCTCGCGACCCGCCTCCTCCTGGCTCAAAGCACGACTGGTCAGTCGTCGCTTGGTCCAGAAATCCGTGTACGTGAATATCCTCGCGGCCTCGTGCAGCGGCAGCCTCAGCAGGTCGTGCAGCGTGAGATTCAGCCGCACCTTGATGCGTCTCGTGTGCGTGGCCAGCTCCTGATCGCCGCGATAAACTTCCTCGAAGCTCGGCGTACCGCTGCTTCTTGCCAACATTCCGCGCTTGGCCAGCAGCCTCATGATCGTCATCGAGTCGTCGGGTCTAAGCGCGTAGTCGCGATTCTTCAGACGCTGCACGACCCCGAACACGCCGGATATCACTCGCATCTCGAATTGGCTGCCTTTCGGGCTTCTGTAGGAGTCGACGCGCTCGTCGAAGTGCTGCTCGCTGGGGAAACGGAATTTGGACAGATCGGCGCCGCGTTTCAGGAGCACGTAGACGACGTGCGGCAGGAGACTCGCTACGGCCCACTGGAGAGGCGTCCGGCCAAACTTGTCCAAGGCGTCGATGTCCAGCCGCTCCTTTCTCTCGTCGCAGAGCTCGAAGAATAGATCCACCAGCTCGTCGTCCTGGTCTCTCTTGCAGATCACGTGCAGCGGACTGGAGCCGTTCTCGTCGCGCCTGCTCGTATCGGCGCCCCGGCTCATCAGCGCGCGGCAGGTCTTCCTCAGGCCGCGCGCCAGCGCCCAGTGCAGCGGCGTCCTGCCCAGTCGGTCCTGCGCCATCACCTCGACGCCCCGGCCGAGCTCGTCGCAGACGCCGAAGAACGACTCGGCCAGGTCGTCGAAGCTCCTCGCGCACACGACGTGCAGCGGGCTCGCTCCATCGAGCCGCACCAGATTCGGATCTGCGCCCCGCCTGAGCAGCAGCTCCATCGTGCCCTTGGCGCCGTGAAACAGGGCCAGCTGCAGCGGGGTCCTGCCGAGCTTGTCCTTGGCGTCGATCGGCACGGGCTTGCCCGATCTCTCGCCCGTGGCCAGCAGCAGCTCGGCAATCTCGTCCGTGTGCAGCGACTCGTTGACCAGTACGTGCAGCGGCGTCGAGCCGGCCCGATTGGTCTTGGCGGGCTCGGCGCCCCTCGCGAGCAGCAGCCGGGCCACCTCCCACTGACGATTGGCCAGGGCCAGGTGCAGCGGCGCGTCGCCCGTCCTCGGCCACGCCTGGTTCGGATCCTCGCCGAGGTCCAGGAACTCGGCGACGATCTTGTCGGCGCCCGCCATGCAGGCCGCGTGAAAGTGCGTCAGGCCGCGCTCGTCCCGGTAATTCAGATCGCACCTGTCGTAGATGCCGAAGAGATCGGCGCAGTAGTGGGCCATGCCGCGTCGAGCCGCCACGTGCACGGCGGTGGTGCGCAGCAGCGGCGATTTCATCGTCGTGGCCGGCTGCTCGTCCCTGTAGCCGCTCGCGATCACGAACCTCAAGAATTGATCCCTGCCGTTGATTCGGCCCGGCTGCTCGCCGTGGTAATCGCACGAGTCCACGAGCAGCAGCTCCATCTCCTCGGGCCGAAAGTACTCGCGCAGATTCGGTAACGCGGCGTCCGAGTCCCAGGTTCTGGCCACGCGATACAGCTCGCGGAGCAGTTTTCGTCGGTCCTGTTTGCTCGCGAAGTCGACGTACTTCCGGACGAAGCGCAAGTTGCGCAGGTCGACGACTTTGTCGACGGGGGGGCCGCTGCTGGATCCGCGTACGTTGGAGACGCGGCGATTGACGACCATCGTGGGGAGCGCGCGAGGATTTTCAAACTTATATTAATTATACTCGTTGCGAGCGAGAGTATAATCGTGCCCGTGTTTTCAACGGCACGTCGATCGTTGGACTACGGTCGAGACGAGTGTATGTACAGGAGCCGAGCGCCGAGAGGCAAGCGATGATGTAAACACAACGTGAGTTTCGACGTTTCGAAGATCGATCGATCGACCGATTTTATTTTGCTGACAAATATATTTCGCGCTGACTTTTTTTCGATTTTCTAGTAAGCGAGCGATGATGTAATAAACTCACATATTATTGTAAATAAGAACGATTGTAAAACGAGAAGTTAAAGGATATGAAAGAAACCTTGGAGTCTCGAAAATTAAATTTTTTTCATAAGTAAAACTTTTTCTTTATATACGTTTATTTACACATTAAAACACAAGGCATAAAAATATATTTTCGTCTTTGAGCCTACCTCCGAGCTCTCGAGCTTTCATGCTTCTGTTTATATAGTTTCGCGTACGAATATTCGCTCGGAGACGTACATGTCTCAACTCGATGGAGCTTTGAAACTTAGCGTCTGAAATTAATCTTGTCATTTATAAAGGCTAAACGCCCAAATTGCCTTTACGTAATTTAAGTTAATGTGACTGTTTTCTATATTTTTAGAATTCTGCAAAATTACAGATCAGACATTGAAAAAGATTATAGGCGTACACGTTCTCGCCTTTCAATCGTCATTATTATCGTTCAAGAGTAGGAAATAATCATACTTCTAGGAGGAAGTTTTTACATCGAATATTTTTATTTTGTATATCCTCATCTTGACGCGAAAAATCCGCAGCGAGCTTGATTAGGATTCTGTCATCTCCCTTGGATCGTAAAACTAGGCCGTTTACTCGAGCTATACACAAAACACACACACACACACACGTATACCTATACGAGAGAACCAGTAGGAATTCAATTAGTACACATACACACACATACAAACGAAGTTTTCGTCGTACTCACAACAGAGAAAATAATAGTCCGGTGCGCTTTGCGGTCTCGCTTTAGACAGAGAGAGAGAGACACACACACACACGCGCGCGGGAGGGTAATAAAAATATACTCCTCAAACTCTCTCCCTGTGGGGCTGTAGGGCAATCGGCGCCTAAGTTAGTTTTCGGGCATACAAAGCCAATAAAAGTAGGTAAATAACCGGGCGCGCAGTGTGGGTATGTGTGTGTGTGTGTGTGTGTGGGTTGGAACACAGTAGAGAGAGTAGTCGACGACACATTCGCAGCAGCACCGATGAAACAACGAGATTCGAATAAATGTAGTTTTCTCTCTCTCTCCCTCGACTGCTGCTGCTGCTGCTATGCTCCGGGAGCTATACATAACCAGGCCTCGGAACGAGCTAAAGAGAGAGAGAGAAAAGCCAAAATCGCTATATACCAGTTTTGGTGTTGACAACGGGCGCAGTAGTAGTATACACACTGTGTGCAGCAGCAGCAGCAGCAACCAACCCCTCCTGCAACGACGACGACGACGACGACAACGACGAGTTTGCAAAGCTCTTGTCCCTCGCATTATGCATGAACTTTTTGCCCACTTCCACCGTCCCCTCCTCCCCCGCGCGCGCGGGAAGCGTGTTCCGGGGCTGGGGACCGCATACAACAATGGATGCTCTCTCTCTCTCTCTCTATTATATATAAAACCCGAAGGAAACAAACACGCGAAATAAACGCGTGTAAATTAACGAGCAGCTCTCTCACTCTGGCCCGTAGTTAATATTTCAACTTTCTCTCTACCTGTTCGTATAAGCGTCGCGCGTGTACAACGATGTAATAAAATATAACGATAATAATTTGCGATTCATTTTTACAGATTGTTTGTGTAGGGGGAGAGGGGAGATGATTTTGCTTAATTGTACGGGACGTTTACCTTTGCCGAGCTTATACATACTTTTTTTTTACACGTTTAAAATATAAAAGAGAGAGAGAGAGATTGGGAAGAATCGCGCGCTGGAAGCTCTAAGCTTAATCGATAAATCAACTGTCCACCCTCCGCAGTTCTTGCGCGAGTAAGAAAAGCGAGAGAGAGAGAGAGAGAGAGAAAAGTACGCGAGCGAGCGAGAGCGCGCGGATTCAAACTAAGTATGCGCGAAAATCCCAGGCTTGGAAAATAAGAGAAAGAGAAAGATAGGCTACTTGTGCTAAGGCAAGTAGAGTGAGAGAAAGAGAGAGTTTTATTCAACTCTTCATCCACTGCGCCGAGCGAGAGAAATTTTCTCTCGGGTGCATCTCTCTGCTGCTGCTGGGTAGTAGAGCTCGAACTTTATCTAATGAATTAATCTTTTCTTTACTTCTTTTCTCTCTACTCGAACTTTTATATAATTTATATCGCTCGGCCTCTACTACTGCTGGCCTGGCCTGGGATGATTTTTTCATTATCATTGTGTGCGAGGGCGCGCGGGCGAATGGCAAAGAGAGAGAGAGAGAGAGAGAGAGGCACACCACCAGACCAGAAACCCAGCGTACCGTCCGAAATGACTCATTCGAGGTTAGTAAAACATAATGAACCTTTGTCGGTTATAATAATCGCTTCTCTTCTCTTCTCTGCTGCTGCTGCTGCGGAGGGAAAATTTTTAAATTTTATTACGTTGATGCACGCCGCTTCGGAATTCTCTTTTTACCTTCTCTTTCTGCAGGCGCGTGTGTTATAATATTACGCGCGCGCGCGCGGGTGACACAAAAGCAGCAGCTTTCGCTACGCGGAAGAGAGAGAGGAAAACAAAAGGAAGAAAATATCGAAGAAAAAAAAATTACTTTTTTTCCGACTTTCGTATATAACGCTCAGAGTTGTAATGCGCACCCGCACACACACACACACACACATACACACACACTACGACAGCTAATAAAAAGCACTCGCGTGCGAGCTTTCACTTATCTGTTTTCCGCGTTAAAATGTGTCTCTTTCTCTCTCAGCCCGTTTCCTTTTTTTTCGGTCTATATGTGCGGTGCTGCTCCCTTTTTTTTCTCCCCGAGCTCTAACTTTCTTACTTAGCTCTCGAGGCCTCGTCAGATGCAGCAGCAGCAGCAGCGCCAATTACGTTTGTTACGATGCGGGACAAAAAGATTTTTCTTTTTTTTTTTGCTCTATGAGCCGACTCGATGGAAAATTGCCACGACTCGTTGTATAAAATAATAATAATAATATATAATAAAATAAAGCAGTATATACAGGCTTAAGTATCGCAGCACCTTTATATATTTATATAAGCCTCGCGAAGTGGCCTGTATTATATACCACGCGGCGCGGAGGAAGAAAAAAAAACAGGGAAAAATCCAAATAAATTTTTTTTCCCTCCTCGCCGCGGTGGAAACTCAACTCTCGCGCGATCGCGTGTCGAGCCTTCATTTTTTTCCGATTCTCTCTCTCTCTCCGCGCGCGGGTATTATATAGTCCCACTTATATTCGCGCGGTGCAAGCAGCAGCAGCTGTCTGTTTGTCTTTTTTTTTACCTCTCTCTTCTTTTTGGCCTTTTTCTGCCTCGGCTACTTACTCTTTCATCCTTCATGCTTTATCATCCACATCATTAGCCATTTCTACGTTTAGTCTGTGTGTAACCTTAGCGCGCGTATATATAGGTATACGATATACATCAACTTAGTTGCGTGCTGCACACGAGACTCCGTGTATATAGCCGCAGAAAAGCTCAGAAGTAAAAACATACTAATGAGCTCGAGCTAGCTCTACGCTGCTTGCTGCTGCTCGCGCAATAATGAATCACATTTTCAACATCGCGAAATATCCTTGGCATATCTTTGATACCGCTGCCGCTGCTGCCAGGCTCTTTTCTTCTTTTAACAAACTTATGCCGAAGGAATAGAGAACGCTACAGATATATATATAAATATTGAAACAAATGCGCAGCTTGTTACCCTTATTCTCTTTCATCCTCGGTGAAGGTTGATTATCATTATTATTTATACATTCAAAAAGAGGCCAAGAAAAAGAACCTCGTCGAATCTCGTACTTACACGTAAAAAGAACCAAGAGCAAATAAACGACGGCCTCTCCGTTGATCCTGTCCATTTCTCCTTGACTCTCTTATCTCTAGCCTCTAGGTCATCCTTTTTTTCTCCTTGTATCTTCGATCGAACACTGCTCCGGCACCTTAAACACCTCGTAAAGTCACAACGTCGCACATTTTCCAGCTCAAATCCGAAACACACGGAAAAAGTAAGTCAAAAGAAAAAAAAATATTCGACGCGAAAGTTTCGACGTGCGCGCGCGCGGCGCGATACAAACAGCACGTGTGCGTGCGCGATCGCGCGAGAGTCATGCGATCGACTTTGCCGCCGCCAACGCCGTCGTCGTCGCGACAACAAGGGATGCTGCTGCTGCTACTGCTTGGTGGTGAGCAATATTATTATGTCTTTCGTGTATGTGTCATCTGCCCGAACGCTCGCCTACGCGCAGAATCCCCCTTTTATGCGTCGTATAGCTGTAGGATCATAGGCGCACGATTCCGTGCGCAGCTAGCCAGCAGCGGCAGCAACGCAACCGAAGCGCAGGATTATTTCTCGCGTCGCGACTCACGACGATAATAAACTCGAATAGTTGATGATGCCTCGTATCGTTGAAACGAAGCAGTTTTAAACGATCGAATAGGCGCGCGAGGGGGCCGAGAGGAGGGAAAACGACGAGAGAGTGACTTGTACGATTCTCGCGCAATGACGCAGCAGTCGAGGAATCTTCCCTTTTCGTACGTATATATATAGCTCTCAATCTCGCGCGCTGATTCACTTTTTCTCTCTCTCTCTCTCTCCCTTTCGGGGGCAATTGTGTTGTTGTACCCTGCCGAGACCGAGAGAGAACCTCGCCCTTTTCGCCGCCTTTTTCGATCGCTATACGTATATATCTCGGTATTATATATATACTGTGTATCCGCTCGAGTGCCCTTTTTCTTTTCTCTCGCAAGGAAATCAACTCGAGAGTCTCTGAGATCATCAACTTTTCCGCCCGAAATAAGTGCACACGCGCGCGAGCGAGAGAGAGGCCTTTGAAGCTCCGCGCATACACGCGCACGAAACGAGGCAAACTTTGATTGGTTTTTCGGATCGGCGCGGTGGAAGAATTTGACAATTTGATTTGATTTATTGGGTGGAAAATAATTTTTTTTTGAACGAGGGTTAGATAGGTGTATAAGAGATTTGTAGAGTATTCGCTCGATTTGATTTAAAATCTTGATACCGTCGATCTTTTATTTTTTTTACCAGAGAAAAAGGACGAGTTTTATAATGCTTCATTTTTTTGTATAAAAAAAATATACATCAAGTCTCTCTCGGACGCGAGCATAATAAATTATAATTCCACCGGGGTGGTTATGAAAATTTTTATTCATATTTGTGTGTGTGTGTGCGTGCGCTCTGTGCAAGTGCACGGAACACGCGCGCGGCTAACTTTTATCAAAATAAATGCAAATATTATGTGGTTTTGCCAGCGTGCAGCATATTACATTGTGAAGAATCTCGGCTTCCTCGTTTGCATATAAGTTGTTGGCTTTCTGGCAAGCAGCGGTAGCAGCAGCAGCAGTACAGCTGCCTGATACAGCAGCAGCAACAACCTCTAAGATTATACTCATATTTTGAAATTAAGTAATATTACGATTTCAGCTCTTACTCATTTTTTTGCTGCTGCTTTTTTACCTTACTTCTTCTTCTGCTTCTTCTTCTTTTTTTTTGCAGCTATCACTCTTGCTCGGGCTTGCGGGCTATGAAAATTCAAGTGATTCTTAAATGAAATAAAAATGCATAGGGAGAATTTAAAAGTTAAAAGAACATAAGCCAGGGATGTGCGGGAGCGTTTGAAGCGCGACCGAGTCACGGGGGAATTTCTCCCGGTGAAAAAGAGAGAGAGACAGAGAGAGAAAGAGAGACAGAGAGAGGGAGCGTGAAACTGGCATTCGCATATCCCTTTGTTAGACATAAAAAGATGGAAAAATGTCGACGTATTAAACGATCCCTTGGGCTCGATTAAAAAAAATAATAAAAATAAAAAAGGAGGAAAAGGAGTGAAAAACGAATCTCTCGCTCTCTTTCAACTGTTGCGCGTAACGTGATAATTATATTTTGCGTAAAAAATTGATCAAACACCGCGCGATGATATAATAAAATAAAGTATACATCGAGGGCTAGACTCGTGATAAACAATTGCGCAGTGTTGTACGTGCGAGCGCTAGCTGCAGAATATTTATTATACGCCATCCAGTGCCAAAGTGAAGATTTCCGTACGAAGACTATGTAATCTCGTTTCGGCGCTGCTGCTGCTGTTGCTGTGTTTGTGTACGCAAATCCTTCGAACCGTCAGCTTTTCTCCTAGCTCATGTGTATTCCTCTGGTTTTCCTCTCTTTCTGTCTTCCTTCTTTTTTTTTTTTTTTTGTTTCTGCTTCGCTGCTGCTGCTGCTGCGAACAAAATAAAGCTGTGAAATGCCCGTGTAAACTGACAATGCGATTTATAGCCAATCACTTTTCTCGATTACTTTTCCCTCCTTCTTTTTTTTGCGTTGCTGTGTTTTTTTTTCCTTTATTTTTATTTTTTTTTTCAGTTCCGTATACTAACGCCTCTGCCTCTTGATACGCAGTAATAAAGTGGCAATGCTCACGCGTTAGATCCAAGCTCTCCAGCTCGAAGCTGGTAAACAGATTTTTTCCCCTCAACGATCGTCTGTACAGACCTTCCTTTTTTTTGTTTTTGAAAAGACAAAGAATAATCTGATACAAATTCTACACAATGAATCATTCGCTGCTTTTGCTTTTTTTCTTTGTATGCGAGTGTGAATTATACGTATATGGACCATATACCATGGTAGATGCGACAGGCTAAGAAATGAAATTAAAACTAATTACGTATTATTCGAGAGTACATCAAAAATATAAAGAAGTTTAATATGTTGGTTCATTACCATTGTTATTACGAGTTATTCTACATTGTAAATGCTTTATGAAAATCTGAAGCAAAGAAAATTCTTCAAAACGAGGTCTAATGTGCACTTGCAATTTTTATAATAAAATCAGCATTTCCATTAGGCCGAACAAGCGTATAGAACAATTAGAAACAACTTAAGTGTATGAAAATTAAGTGTATGTGATTATAATAGGAAAGTTTAACAAAGATGTTGGATATCAATTTATCTGGATTCGATCAATTTAGTGCCAATGCAATAATTACCAATATTTATAACATCGTATGCAATTGATTTTAATAAAACCAGCTGTGAAAAGTCTTCAATTGAAAAGGTACACTCATTGTTTCATATTATTATTAATATCTTAGCTGGCTGCTCATTCAAAAGAAAATCAGTTATCATTTATTACTTCGAAATAATGAATTGTTTCTTTAGTGTCACATAATAAACTACTAAATTAGGTATTTTATGATGATTCTATTTTGCATGGTTACCTACCAGAACTATGGAGAAAAGTGTATACAATCACTTGTTGAAATATACACGGAAAAAAAAACTTAGTAAACGGTACGAAAACGTTAGTTATAATAACAAAATTCGTTTTTGTTACCACAACCGAAATATTTTAGTTACGACAACTATTTTCCCTGTTGCTACAACAAAATGGACTTTTGTTGTCCTAACCGAGAAAATAGTTGTCGTAACTAAAATATTTCGGTTGTGTTACTAACGTTTTCGTACCGTTTACTGCGTTTTTTTTTCGTGTAAGTGAATTTTTAGAGAAAATATAAATCATAATTAGCAAGCATTACTTGATTTGAAATACCGAATATAAATGATAATATCATGTGACCATTGTACTATACTGTATTGCCAAAAATAAAGGAGAGGGAGCGCGCGTGTCGAGCGTGAGTGAGTGTTGGTACACACTGCGCAGGGGCAGACACATGTACATGACGAGGCAAAGAGAGAGCCGGATGGTGCGAGGTGCCAATAAATGTTTAAACAAGTAATTGCTAGTTGGTTATTTATTCAACCGAAATAAACGTAGGACACTACGACCATGATAGTGACATGCAAAACACATGACCATGATAATAGTCTCATATTAATAATTCAGCTGGGACCATTCGCTTGCGGGTAGTGACGCGCCACCCAGCGACCAGTCGCGAAGCCCGATAAGGCTTCGTTGCTTCTCTTCGTTGCGTCTCAGCAGCTGCATCTTATAAATGCATAATCATTATTACCATTCAACATTTTTAAAATCAATTTTATCTTACAAGAATTTGATATGAGCAATTCATTTTACAAAAATTACATAATAAATTTTTTAAAAGAGAAGGTAATTAAAAAAATAATTGTTTAGTTTTTTTTAGTAAAAAGTAAGTATCCTACGTAACACGATATTCAAGTAACTTTTATCTAAAACATAACATTGAACAGAAAATAATATTTGTTCTGCTTTAAAATATAAGATTTTTTTATTACAAGGAGAAGGAATAATATATCAGACTGAGTTCATTGCACTAGATTTAAGCTCGAATCATTTGAGCAATGTATATCAAATCCTTCAAGTTCGGCATCTATTTTACTTTTTTGCCTAAACTAAGTCTCGATGACAAAAACTAATCACCAGATCATTTTTCATTTGAAAACCAAATTTTTTATTATTATTAGTTGGGGCAAGGACTAAGACCAGCTACACTTTTTAAATGTTGCATAACTTGTTTTTTTTTTAAATAAAATGCGCAATAAAACTTTCAAATATATTAGACTTTAATTTAAATTATTTTGATACGAATTGATTTTTTTTTTAAACTGAACTTCTCCTTGACACGATCAGTCTATTTTGCGAGGCTAACATTGACTATTAAGAAAATTGTATTAATAGATAAACATAATATTTTCTTGCCATGCAAGAAGAGGCAAAGGTAACGATATTCTTCCTCATATCTTAAAATGTGGAGTTATATTTTAAATAATCCTTCGATATTCGTAAAACTGTACCTTATCTAGCATAAAGAATTAAGCCTTTGGTGAAAAAGTAATTTTTGATTAATTAATAGAATTCGTTCAATCAGATCAACGATAGAATTCGACGCGATGGTACTGGATAATTATTACAGATTCATCGATCGATGTTAAAAATATTTCATTTGAGGTCAATGTTGTGCGTAAAATGTTAACGCTTATACCTGCTCGCTACATAATTATTGATGCGTTTCTATGATTAGAAATAATTGTTTTGCCCTTTGATGTGTCAATCAACCTCTTGTGAACCTACTATGCGCAATGATGAAAGTGGCCTGAGCTCACCATGAGCCATAAGAGAAGGTATCCAATATCCATACGTCGCGAGCTCGACAAATTTTCCAGACGTGCATTAGAAGCGCTTTTCGCTTTCTTTTTGACATTATTCTAATTCATCCTGATGAGTGAAAGAAATCGAAAACAACAAAATCGCCTCGGACTATTCCAGACCGAACAATGGAAAATCACGGTCGGACTACAGAAAATCAGTGGGCTTTATTGCTTTCAACGTGATCGAATAAATTTTATCTGTTGGCTTATTATTGCTTTGTTCTCATTGTCATTCACGATTGTATTGGTAAATATGAATTAAAGTAAATCAAACTTTGCGAGGATCACTTCGTCCTTTCTCGTTTTCCAGGGCATTAGGCTTGTAATGGAAATCGGTGTTCATAACGAAATCGTCATCGAGAACATTTTGGGTGAATTGTACATGCTGATTATTTTTTCCAAACTAGGAATCAGCGTTCTGAAAAGGAAATCCGTAATTAAATTTTAAATTAAAATTTTTTTCTTATTACGTAGCTACCGAAACCAAAAAAAGAAATTCTCGATTGCAGTTTAAATGCATTTACGCGAAGATTGCAGATCACTGGAGTATGATAAACAACGCCGAGGAGCTCGACATCGTGTCCAGAAACATGGAACGAGGCCATGGAGTAGTAAAAATTTACTCGCTGTACTGTATCATCGGTATGGGATGCTTCATCGCCATGCCAATAACCTATCCATTGCTAGATTACGTGATACCGATGGAAAATAAAACCCGGACCATGGGCGAGCCCGCCTACGTCGAGTACGGCCTCGACCCTGAGAAGTATTACTACCCTCTGATGACCCAGGGCTTTGTCGGCGGTCTTGGCTGTATCGCAGTTTTCGTGGCCTTTGACGTGAGCTACATGATGCTGACGAATTACGTGATTGGCTTGTTCGCTTTGGCCAAGTAAATTTTTAACAGTCGATTATTTTTTTCAATACCACGAAAGCAAAATTTTTCCACAGACATCGTTTAGGAAAGGTTAATAAACTGATAAAAGCAATGGAGCAGCAAAATATCAACGTGTTAAAGTCAAATTGGCCTATGCCGTATATTGTGCAAGCCATCAAAACTCATCAGCGAGCTTTGGCGTAAGTGATTTTTCAAATATCAATGAAAAAAAAAATGAACCAGTCAATGTTTGAAACAGTTATGCCAACGACTTAGAAGCCAACTACAATAAAGCTTGGTTTATAACTCTCGTCTGTGATACAGCTACCATCGCAGGTTGCTTCGCTATCGTAAGTAAGGGCTACCAAGTATCATATCTGCACTGAAGTTCTGGCTCTGAAATTGCTTTTTCTGATATTCAGTTAAAGGTGAAAGACACCCCGGAAGAAATTTTTCGCTTCTTTTCGTTGCTCTTTGGTGCCTTCATCCATTTCTATTTCATATTTTTACCAGGACAATTGATGATCAACGCTAGCGAAGAAGTTTTTGATGCCTGGTAATGTAACTTTTTCCTAATAATGTAACTGTCACTCGTCCTTTGACTAGATTATTTATTTAATTCTAGTTATGCGGCTAATTGGTACAAATTGTCTCACAAATCCAAATATTTGTTAAAAATTATCATGATCAGGAGTTTGAGGGCCTCGTATTTGACCGGAGGAAAGATGTTTTCACTTTCTATGAATACCTACTGCAGTGTTTGTAATTTTTCCCACTCTTTTTCATTAAACTGTAAGAAATTTTTTTTTACATCTCAAATTTATGTTTACAGATGCTAAAGACCAGCTTATCGTGCGTCGCTCTTCTGAAGAGATTGTTGGATTTTTAAAAAATATTTTATTTTTCAAGTTCCATGTCTGATTCGGAATATCATAAATATAATTTTCTGAGTAGAGTCACCCCCCCCCCCCCCCCCCCCCCCCCCCCCNATAAACTAATATAATTTAATTATACTGAACTAATTCACAGGTAGTGAAATTTTATAATATAATTGAGCATTAATACTAAATATTTTAATAATTTTCAACAACTTTATGAATATATTATCATTTATTATAATGGTTTCATTTACTGGTAAAAATGTTTTATTCACTGGTGCATCGTTTCCCTTACATGTTATTTTATTAATGAAAGTTGAAAGTAAAAATTCTGCAAAAATTCTATTCAGTGGAGAAAGACATTTAGTTTTATAATACATCTGAATAATAGCCATTCATTTATTAAAAACGTTGATTTAATCTAAATTTAAGCAAACTTTTTTGAAACTTTTCATTCACTGGGTAGGTGACTATAATCAATATGTGAAGAATTCAAACAACCCATGAATATGTAAAATCCAAATAATTTATTAACATATATTGTAAAAACTAGATAATCATGAATGCACATAGAATTCAAATAATCCATGAATATGTTAAATTTAAATCTCCATTACATTTACTATATCCAATGGGTCTGGGCGTACTGCTCTAGTCGTAAAATTTTGAAATTTACAAATCACATCTTTTTTAATGAACAATTCATATGAATAAAAATTGAAGATATGTGCTCATTTTAAGAACATATTTGGAAATCTTTAATAAAACTTGCGTGTCTTCAGGGGACATTCCGATTGAAAATGAAAAAAAATTGATACATTTTTTTTACGTTAAAACGTTCTTTAACACCATAAAAATATCCTGTTAAAATTTTAGAACGAAATTCATAAAGGAAAAAAGTTATGCCTGATTACACGAAGTGTCTATCGTGCTTGATATATACAGAACAAAACTTCGGACGTATTTTTCTCAAAACTACTTTTTTCAGCTCTTGCCAGCGATTGAGAAAAAACTCCTAGTCCGATCTTTACGTTTAATATCTAATTTTAATCGTTACAACTTTCTCTACAAGACAAACCTCTAAAAAGTGGAAAAAATCATCCCCAATTTTTTTATGGGGTAAATTCACCCCCATAACCACCGAAAAGAGCATTGTTTTAGAAAAACTCGTGCCAAAATCGTAAAAATTGAAAATATCAATTTTTTAGAGGTTTGTCTTCTAGAGAAAGTTGTAACGATTAAAACGAGATATTAAACGTAAAGATCGGACTTGTAGTTTTTTCTCAATCGCTGGCAAGAGCCGAAAGGAACAATACAATTTGCAATGGGAATGTCCCCTTAAAATGTTTATTTAATGTGTAATCAACGATTTCATGTTGTTGTCACTTTGGTTGTTTATACATGAAAAACAATATTTTTAACGGGGAGTCTAATTATCACGGATTCTTCGATCGATGATTAGAATATTCCTTTCGAGGTCGGTATTATTCGTAAAACTTTTACACTTATACTTTATACCTTAAGGACGTTGGGGACCTTTAGGTCAAGTTGGCCCACGAAGTTGAAACTTCGGAATTTGATAGTCGATAACACTCATAATGTTTTCCCGAAATTTTAGCATCAATAGTCAAATGAATTTTTGCATAATTTAATTTCAAAAGTACATTTTTTAACATGGAAATCATAGGAAAGCGCAGATTTCTCTCACAATTCTAAGTGTAACTTTATGTTAGAATGGGAGATGGTGACCAAATTTCGCATAATGAAAGATGAAATTATTACTTTTCACAAGCAAATTTCAAAGTAATTTTGTAAAAATAAAAAAATTTCGTGTTTGTTTTACATGCAATATAACTCGAGAGGTGAGCAGCAGACAAAAATACGCGTGATAGCATATGTATTGGCTTTGAGCCTATGATACCACCAACCCACCTAGTCAAATTAAGTATCTACCTTCCGCTGTTTCTTGACAGTTGCTGATTTGCACTCGGTTTCGTCCCCAACGTCCTTAATTATTATTGCGTTTTTATGATTGAAAATAATTGTTTTGCAATTTGATGTGTCAATCAACCTCTCGTGAACCTACTATGTCCATACGTCGCGAGCTCGACAAATTTTCCAGTCATGTATTAGAACCGCTTTTCGCTTTTTTGCTTTGCCGTTACTTTAGTTTATCGCTATGATTCAAATAAATCGAAAGCGGCAAAATGCCATGGGACTATTCGAGACCAAACAATGGAAAATCACGATCAGATTACAGAAAGTCACTGGCCTTTATTGCTTTCAAAGTCATCGAAAAAATGTCATCTGCTGGCTTAATATTTTTTTATTCACTTTGTCGTTCATGATTGCTATGGTAAATGTTAATTAAGTTAAATTTTACTCTGTAAAGTTTAACTTGTCATTTCTCACTCTCCAGGGAGTTAGACTTGTCATGGAAATCGGTGTTCATAACGAAATCGTCATCGAGAACATGTTGGGGGAATCGTACATGCTGATTATTTTATCAAAATTAGCAATGAGCATTCTGAAAAGGAAATCAGTAATTCAATGTTAAATTTAATTTTTTTACGTAGCTGTCATAAAAAAAAATCAAATTCTTGATTGCAGTTCAAAAGTATTTACACAAAGATCGAAGATCACTGGAGTATGATGAAAGACGCCGAGGAGCTCGTTATCATGTCCAAAAACATGAATCAAGGCCATCGAATCGTAAAAATTTACTCGCTGTACTGTATCGTTGGTATGGGATGTTTCATCGCTATGCCGATAGCCTATCCATTGCTAGATTACGTGATACCGATGGAAAATATAACCCGAACCATGCGCGAGCCCGTCTACGTCGAGTACGGCATCGACATTGAGAAGTATTACTTCCCTCTGATGACCCAGGGCGTTTTCGGCGGTCTTGTCTGCGTCTCGCTTTTCGTGGCGTTCGATGTGAGCTACATGATGCTGACGAATTACGTGATTGGCCTGTTCACTTTGGCCAAGTAAATTTTTACGAGCGATTATTTTTTTTCAATACCACAAAAGCAACATTTTTCCACAGACATCGTTTAAGGAAGATTAATAGACTGATATGGGTAATGCAGCAGCGCAATGTCAACACGAAGAAGTCAAATTGGCCTATTCCTTATATCGTGCAGGCCATCGAAACTCATCAGCTTGCCGTGGCGTAAGTCATTTTTTAATCATCAATGAAAAAATATCAATAAACCAGGCGACATTTGAAACAGTTATGCCAACGACTTAGAAGCCAAGTACAATAAAGCGTGGTTTGCACCTCTCCTTATTAACATAACCAGTATCGGAGGTTGCTTCGCTATCGTAAGTAATCACTACCAAGTGTCAAAGTTTTTACTTTAATAATTTTTTTTTTCTTCAGCTAACGGTAAAGGATACCCTAGAAGAAATTTTTCGGTACTTCGCGATGCTCTGTGGTGCCTTCAGTCACTTTTATTTCATCTTTTTACCGGGACAATTGATCATCAACGCTAGCGAAGAAGTTTTCCATGCCTGGTAATGTAACTTTTTCCGCGTAAAACTGCCTCTCGTCCATTGACTAGTTTATTTATTTGATTCTAGTTATGCGGTTAATTGGTACAATTTGTCTGTCAAATCTAAATATTTGTTAAAAATTATCATGATCAGGAGTTTGAGGGCCTCATATTTGACAGGAGGTAAAATGTTTTCACTTTCCATGGAGACCTACTGCAGTGTAGGTGACTTTTTCTCTCTTTTTCATTAAACTTTTGAAGAAATTGTTTTAAATCTCAAAAAATGTGTTTACAGATGCTCAAGACCAGCTTTTCGCTCATCGCTATCTTGAAGAGATTGATGTAATTTTAAAATCTATTTCATATTTGAGTTTTATTTTTCAAGTTTAATGTAAAATTTGGAATAATCAATATTTTTGTGATGAATACGATCTTTTTTTTTCATGAAATGGCCCAAATTGCTTGGATTCTCGTTCCCCATTCTCAGATGACTTGTTTATTACCTAAAAACATTATCTAAACGTTTGAGAGGTCGGTGGCAAGTGCCTAGAGCCTGCCTACAATCGCAAATAGGTTTTTATTTATAATTTCGCTGATTACTCACGATTAACGTTTGCCCTGATTCCCTAAAATAATTAAAAAGTACCATTTCGTATGAATTTTTATCTTTATGATTAAAATATGATCTAAGAATATGTATAAGGGTCATAAGAAATTAATAGCACTCCCAGTACTATATAATAAAGTGAAGTCAAAGAAAAAACGGCGTTTTTTCGATTAGACTGTTATTTCGCTTATTAAATTCATGATTCTTAATTTTTTCGATATTGCTGAATAAACCATCAAAAAGTATATAAAATCCTTGAATTTTCACTGGTTATAAATGTCTTCAAGTGTTCTAGAAGCAAAGTTAGAAAGGTTTATAGATATTAGTTTAAAAAGCGTAAAACTGCATCGGAGCGGAAGTGTTCACTATGACTTGATCTCGGCACTCTAAAGAATTTTTTACATCTGATAAGTATTATTGCACTTATAGTAAATCTGATGACCTTTCATTTGCTTGCAGCTAGAAGTCTCTAAACATCTTATAAGCTGAGTTACAATAATTTTAAAATTTCATAAAATTCTAGGTATCAAATCTGTGAAGCCTCATTTTCAATAAATTCAATACTGAACCCGATAAATTCCAAATTTAGGATTTACGGCGTACATTGTACGCTGGCAATGAAAATAAGGAGGTCGATATCATGCGTAAAATGTTTACGTTCTTACCTTCTCGCTACATAATTATTGATGCGTTTCTATGATTAGAAATAATTGTTTTGCACTTTGATCTGTCAATCAACCTCTTGTGAACCTGCTATGCTCAATGATGAAAGTGGCCTGAGCTCGCCATGAGCCATAAGCGCAGGTATCCAATATCCATATGTCACGAGCTCGACAAGTTTCCAGTCATGTATTAGAACCGCTTTTTGCTTATTTCTTTGCTATTGTTCTAGTTTATCGTTATGAGAGAAAGAAATCGAAAGCATCAAAATAACCTGAAACTATTTGAGACCGAACAATGGAAAATCACGGTCGGACTACAGAAAATCAGTGGTCTTTATTGCTTTCAACGTGATCGAATAAATTTTATCTCTTGGCTTTATACTTTTTTGTTCACTTCGTCGTTCATGACTGCATTGGTAAATATGAATTTGGACAAATTTAACTTTATGAAGTTTAACTCGTTGTTTCTCATTTTCTAGGGTATTAGGCTTGTAATGGAAATCGGTGTTAATACTGAAATCGTCATCGAGAACTTTTTGGCTGAATTGTTTATGATTGTTATTATTTTCAAACTAGGGATTAGTGTTCTGCAAAGGAAATCAGTAATTAAATTTTGGATTTTTTTTATATTGTTAGCTTAACAAAAAAAAATGCCCGATTGCAGTTCAAAAGTATGTACACGAAGATCACTGATCATTGGAGGATGATAAACAACGTCGAGGAGCTCAAGATCATGACCAAAAACATGAATAACGTCCATGTAATTGCCAAAGTTTACGCGTTGTGGTGTTTCTTTGGTATGGAATTTTTCCTAGCTATGCCGGTAGGCTATCCTCTGCTGGATTACGTGATACCTATGAAAAATAGGACGAGGGTCGTGGCTTTTCCTTGCTACGTCGAGTACGGCCTCGACCCTGAGAAGTATTACTACCCCTTGATGACCCAGGGCTTCTTCGGCTCCCTTGGCTGCGTCGCAGTTTTCGCGGCGTTCGATTTGAGCTACATGATGCTGACGAGTTACGTGATTGGCTTGTTCGCTTTGGCCAAGTAAATTTTCAAAAATCGATTTTCAAAAACATAAAAACGATTAAATTCAATTATTTTTTGCAGACATCGTATATCGAAGGTTAATGCAATAATGCAAGTAATGGAGCTACGAAATGTCAACGCGTTGAAGTCAAATTGGTCAATTCCATATATCGTGCAGGCTATCGAAGCTCATCAGCTAGCTTTGGCGTAAGTAATTTTTTAAGAGTATCAATTATTAAAAAGTATCAAAGAACCAGCTGATGTTGAAATAGTTATGTCAATGATTTGGAAGACAACTACAATAAAGCTTGGTTTGTATCTCTCGTTATTAACGTAACCACTATCGGAGGTGCCTACGTTGTTGTGAGTAACTACTGCCACATATCGTAAGCACAGCTGAGGGTTTTACTCTGAAATTTTTTTCGATTTTCAGATATTGGTTAAGGATACCCCGGAAGAAATTTTTCGTTACAGTGCGATGCTCATCGGTGCCTTCGTTCATTTCTATTTCATCTTTCTACCGGGACAAAAGATCATCAACGCTAGCGAAGAAGTTTTCGATGCCTGGTAATGTAACTTTTTCCATATAATTGCAAATCTTAAGTACTTCAACTAATTTATTCATTTAATTCTAGTTATGCGGTTAATTGGTACAAATTGTCTAACAAATCGAAATATTTGTTAAAAGTTATCATGACCAGGAGTTTGAGGGCCTCGTATTTGACTGGAGGTAAGATGTTTTCACTTTCCATGGACACTTATTGCAGAGTGGGTAATTTTTCCTCTCTTTTCATTTAACTGTCAGAGAAATTTTTTTTTTTAATCTCAAGTTTGTTTTTGCAGATGCTTAAGACCAGTTTATCGTGCGTCACTCTCTTGAAGAGAATTTTGGAATTCTAAAACATATTTTATATTTTAGTTTTGTTTTGTTTCAATTTTTAAATGCCTATAATCAAAGTTCAAAAAGTTGAGTTATTTTTGAAAGATCGAGTAAAATTCACCATTTAATTAATTAGTAATTTTATGAAATTAATAAATAAATCGCTGCCAATTCATTGTCTAGTAAACCTTGACATACTCAAAAATGTAAAAAAACTGTTTTGTTTGTAGTGTAATGACCCAGTCACAAGGGTCATAGCATCCCTACGAGTAGATAAAACACCGGGGCAGCAAACCAGCCCGGTGCAACACCAAGTCCCGAACGGGCATGCTAGTGTACGGCCGCACATATACACCGCGGCACGTAATTGTATGGGCGCGCATACAGGTAAGTACAACGAACGTCAGTGCGCGCCTGCACACGTACACCACGGCGCGCACCGATGTAAGTGCGCACACGGACAGAGCCGTGAACGCTAGTGTGCGACTGCACACGTACACCGCAGCACGCACTGGTGTGAGTGCGCACACGGACAGAGCCGTGAACGCTAGTGTGCGACTGCACACGTACACCGCAGCGCGCACTGGTGTGAGTGCGCACACGGACAGAGCCGTGAACGCTAGTGTGCGACTGCACACGTACACCGCAGCGCGCACTGGTGTGAGTGCGCACACGGACAGAGCCGTGAACGCTAGTGTGCGACTGCACACGTACACCGCAGCGCGCACTGGTGTGAGTGCGCACACGGACAGAGCCGTGAACGCTAGTGTGCGACTGCACACGTACACCGCAGCGCGCACTGGTGTGAGTGCGCACACGGACAGAGCCGTGAACGCTAGTGTGCGACTGCACACGTACACCGCAGCGCGCACTGGTGTGAGTGCGCACACGGACAGAGCCGTGAACGCTAGTGTGCGACTGCACACGTACACCGCAGCGCGCACTGGTGTGAGTGCGCACACGGACAGAGCCGTGAACGCTAGTGTGCGACTGCACACGTACACCGCAGCGCGCACTGGTGTGAGTGCGCACACGGACAGAGCCGTGAACGCTAGTGTGCGACTGCACACGTACACCGCAGCGCGCACTGGTGTGAGTGCGCACACGGACAGAGCCGTGAACGCTAGTGTGCGACTGCACACGTACACCGCAGCGCGCACTGGTGTGAGTGCGCACACGGACAGAGCCGTGAACGCTAGTGTGCGACTGCACACGTACACCGCAGCGCGCACTGGTGTGAGTGCGCACACGGACAGAGCCGTGAACGCTAGTGTGCGACTGCACACGTACACCGCAGCGCGCACTGGTGTGAGTGCGCACACGGACAGAGCCGTGAACGCTAGTGTGCGACTGCACACGTACACCGCAGCGCGCACTGGTGTGAGTGCGCACACGGACAGAGCCGTGAACGCTAGTGTGCGACTGCACACGTACACCGCAGCGCGCACTGGTGTGAGTGCGCACACGGACAGAGCCGTGAACGCTAGTGTGCGACTGCACACGTACACCGCAGCGCGCACTGGTGTGAGTGCGCACACGGACAGAGCCGTGAACGCTAGTGTGCGACTGCACACGTACACCGCAGCGCGCACTGGTGTGAGTGCGCACACGGACAGAGCCGTGAACGCTAGTGTGCGACTGCACACGTACACCGCAGCGCGCACTGGTGTGAGTGCGCACACGGACAGAGCCGTGAACGCTAGTGTGCGACTGCACACGTACACCGCAGCGCGCACTGGTGTGAGTGCGCACACGGACAGAGCCGTGAACGCTAGTGTGCGACTGCACACGTACACCGCAGCGCGCACTGGTGTGAGTGCGCACACGGACAGAGCCGTGAACGCTAGTGTGCGACTGCACACGTACACCGCAGCGCGCACTGGTGTGAGTGCGCACACGGACAGAGCCGTGAACGCTAGTGTGCGACGGCACACGTACACCGCAGCACGCACTGGTGTGAGTGCGCACACGGATAGAGCAGCAAACGTTAGTGTGCGCCCACTCACGTACGCCGCGGTACGCACTGGTGTGAGTGCGCACACGCGTGGAGCGGCAAGAGCTTGTGTGAAGCATAGCTCGCGCTTGCAAGCTACAAGTCGAAATTTATGATGCCTCCGTCGCCAAAAAGGCGATGGGATAACCGGCTCGGGCAGGAAACGGGATGTTGGCAAAAATCAGGTCACAACTTGCGAGCAAAGAAACTAAGGAAACGGCTCAAGCATCCGCTAAAAATCCCAGACACGACGGATGGGAAAAAACGCGCAGCCCGCAAGCTCTAGAGGACACATAAAGTTCACGGTGACCCTAGCTCAAACAAAGAGGGTACGGCAGCAACAAACAGTATATAAACCGAGACTCAGAGAGTCTCGGGGCCAGTTATCGTTCTCGGTTCAAAGCGTATACATCGACGCTCGTCGGCTCAGTGTTCATTCTCGGTTCGAAGCGTGCACGTCGACGCTCGGTCTTCACATACACCTTTACTTCTCGAGTCAAAGTTCGCAGTTTACGTGAAAGCCAGCCTGTTGCTCGGCTCCGCAGATAGAATCAGTGCGAGATAGTAATACGAAAAGTACGCGAGCCCGTGCAGCTGCAACCACCGACGCCGCCCAGCACGCTGACACCGTTCCGGCTTTATCGACACCGAGAACACCCTCATCGACACCGAGGACACCCTCGTCGACGCCGATCTCCTCGACGCCGATCGCGCCGACGCCGATCACCGCACGAGCCGAGGCCAGACCGTCACGGGCCCGCCCTACAACAGACAGCACACCGACGCCTTCAGCCACCGCACCGATCGTCGCCGCCGAAGAGAAGAACACCGGTACATAGTAAGCAACATTTATGTAACTAGGGTTAAGGTTAAATAAACAGTCTCTTGTGAAATTCTGTGTTATCCTTCCTTCATCTCACCCTACCCCAGAGACAAACGCGAGTAGAGTCGAGTCATTAGCTTTCAGTCAGCTGGCATATTTTATTAATAATAAATAGATGGTGGCAAACGAGCCATCACAGTAGCACAAGAAAATCATCAGTTTAAATTAAACTATAACAGTTAAATAAATAGTTTAATGAACCGTTAATATAAAAGAATGAACAAATAGAAATCAGATTATCATTATTTATGAGCATATACAAAAATAAAGATATTTATAGGTTTTTAGGGTGAAACAATAACGCATCAGTGAAAAAACAAACTTTTTGATTGTGCGTTCTAGGTCCCGATCATAAGCACGTGACATACACCGATGTTTCTTTAAAAATGTATTTCATTGATTTATTGTTGTTTTTCAAAGACAAACTGGTTATCATTATTACGTGATAAAATATTTCCCTATTATGAATTCCACTCAAACTATGAATGAAAAATATATCAAGTAGTAACTGGATATTTATTCATATTTATAAATAATTCAGATATATCTTTACAGTAGGTTACATGTCAGCAGTACATTGTTAAATTCAAATTGAATTGTTTTACATAAAAAAAAATGCATCTACGTGGAGAAAAATCGTTGCTTCGCTTTTTCATTAATTTTAATGTAAATATTTTCAACGGTGATATACAACGGTTCAAGTTCAACTCAGTGTCAAAGTCAAGCAAAAACAGACACACTTGCATAATATCTGTGTTTGGACATGGTCGACGGTAGAGGGGGAAAGTTTCGCCAGTGAACGATTGCAGTCGCGAAATAGGATCACTTTGCTAATATCGACTGATTAGCTCGCTCGCTAATGGAGAGTTGAGTTCTAAGACGAGCAAGTATTTACAGATTATAACCGCAAAAGTGTAGAGGTTAGTTTTGGCTACTCGAGACGTATTTATAACCTCGAATATTTTTACGGTGTGCGTGTCGTGAATAATTACAGTAAATCAGCGATGATGGAAAGCAAAGGCGACATAGTTAGGTAAGCATTTTTGTGTATTATAGTTCGATAATTATTTTTTTTAACGATTCCTTATTTAATTCACTTATTCTTTAGGGTGAAGGAAGAGCCGAGCGATACATTGACGAACGAAGGTGACGACAATTATGTTTTCGATCCGGTGGACTCCTGCAAAACCGAAAACTTTGAAACAATGCCATTTCATGAATTATCGGTGAGTTTTGAGATTTGAATTATGTTTTATTTTTCTGCTATCAAAACCTATAATGCAAATTTAATTTTAGGCCAACCATATAAATGAGATTATGGAGTTACAAGAAAAGTTAGATGAGAAAATATTTATTGATTTTGAGTGCAAAAATGTCAAACCTGAACTGAAGTCTTTATCGACAACTGTGTGCAAATCTGAGTATCAAAGTTGTCAATCTATTATGAAACAAGAAAACAAAAATCCGTTCAATAACATAAATGAAAAAATGTTGATAATTTCAATAAAAAAAGGGTTTAATTATGATCATAACTGTCAATTTCAAGAAGAGTCCCGATTACAACTCGATGAATCCGCGGAGGGGAAAATATTTAAAAGAGGAACTCAAACAAAAACAACTCATAGGTATAATTTATCACAAAAAACTCATGAAAGAAAGGAAGGTCTAAAAAGACATATCAATACGATACATAAGAACATTAGATCATATGAATGTGGAATTCGTCATAAGTCATATAGCCGCAAGGATACACTTAAATCTCACATAATAACACATAATCGAAGCAAACTCCTTGAATGTCATATTTGTCACAAATCATTTGGACGAAAAGGTAATCTCAGAACTCACATCAATGCAGTGCATATTGGTAGCAAACCCTTTGAATGTGAGACTTGTCACAAATCATTTGTGTTTAAAAGTGGCCTCAAAATTCACATAAATGCAGTACATGATCGTAGCAAACCTTTTGAATGTGAGATTTGTCACAAATCATTTGGACAAAAAAGTACCCTCAACTTGCATATAAAAACAGTACATGTTCGTAGCAAACCTTTTGAATGTGAGATTTGTCACAAATCATTTGGACAAAAACAACAGCTCGAAACTCATATAAATGCAGTACATAATCAGAGCAAACCGTTTGAGTGTGACATTTGTTACAAATCATTTGGATACAAGAGTGATCTCAATAGACACATAAATACAGTACATAATCGAAACAAACCCTTTGAATGTGAGATCTGTCACAAATCATTTGGAGAAAAAGGTACCCTCAACGTGCATATAAAAACAGTACATTTTCGTAGCAAACCTTTTGAATGTAAGATTTGTTACAAATCATTTGGAGAAAAACAAACGCTCAATAGGCACATAAATTCAGTACATAATCGAAGCAAACCCTTCGAGTGCGATATTTGTCAAAAATCATTTGGACTAAAATTTAACTTCCAAGCTCACGTAAATTTAATGCACAATCGATCGTTTGAATACAATTCATGATAGTTGCAAATCTTAAAAAAATAATTATTTCTGATACATTTGTAAGCAATAAATTTGCATGTATAGTATTGTATTGTATTAAATCTTTTGAAATAAATTATCTTTATTTTTGCGAAAAAACTGTATAGCGATTTAAACTGTTATTAATTCATTCGTGACTCTGGAAAGCTTTTTCCCATCCTTTTTACAAAAATTATATACATTAAAAAACAAATTTTGGACTTGAAGTTTTTGTTTACAATTTTGTTTTTTAAAATTCTAACCCAAATATCAAATAAGTAAATTTTTTCCGAAATATTCTAAAAAAATACCACACATTTTATTTTATAATAATAAAATAATAGAATAAATTTCAGACGAGTCACAAAATATACCATTTTGTAAAATACATATATTAAAATACATCAAAGCTGAAAGCAGAGTAAATGAAAATTTTTGACTATTTTTACAATGTCAAGCACGCCATTATAAGATGTCTTATTGTGCGATCACGCGATTTTTCATACTTGAGTACACTAACATAGCTATAGATTCGACAAAATACCTATCAAAATTTTCACTGTCAGCTTATTTGTTTAACTTTTCTCCGGGACTACAGTAAACAATTGACAACGTCCTATTCGCACAGCTCACGCGACAAAAATGTCAATCGCAATCTCAGCCTCGGATTTCGCCGATTATTTATCGCGTAAGTATATACGTTCCGTAAAGAACGAGCGATCCATTTGAAAAGTAAAGTGGTTAAAAAGAAGAATATGATATACGAAGTGACGTGGCGCGCGAGCTTCTTCTTTCGCTTCCCCGCTCCACTGAGCTTTCCGATCGTACTTCTTTTTCGAGCTTTCCACCCCATAAAATTCACCCTTGTCCTCGGCATTTGGCCTGTCTTTTTTTTCTCGTTATGCTCTTCTTTTTCTTCGTCCTCTTAATGCATTTTTCTCTTTTATTTTCATCCCCGCCGCCGTTGCTGCCACGGATTCTCTCTCTCTCTCTCTTTAATTTCTCGAAATATATCGAAGATATATAATACAAACGTTAACAGGGCACACGGCTGCAGCCGTCGCTCTGAATTCAACTCGAGAGCGACTATATACTACTACTACTACTACTACTATATATACCCGACGTCTTACACGGCTGTCAATTTCATGTAAATGTACGAACGAGATATCCGAACATTCGTGAATCGCGTGCATCAAGATCGGGTTAACTTCGACTCGCTCTCGCTGCTTTTACACGTGTCTTGCGTGGGTGGGCTATATTGTGTGCATCGTCTGCGCGCAACTCTCTCTCTCTCTCTCTCGCAAGACATAGCGATGTCTTACTTTGTAAAACGGAGTTTAGCCGCACGGCGCTCGCGTGTATGGCATGCTCGGCGATCGGCAGCTCGATTCGAACTTCGTCAATGAAATTAACCGAACGAGACTTGGCGCTGTATGTACACGGTTAAAAAAATTCAGACTATATGAATGTAGAATCGAAAATTGAAATCAAAGTGATTTTAATCAACTTTTCTGAAACTTCTACTATATTTCAAATCAGGGAATCACTTCTCAGTAAATAAAGCAAAATGGCCAATGGATAAACATGAAAAATCTTGCTAACCTCCGCATTGACAAAGAAAAGTGTTTCGAAGTACACGAGATATATTATAAACTTTAATTAAAAGTATTCAGAATTATAAGAGTCATGAAAAATAAGACTTTTAATGTGTCGAGTGCTGTATTGATTTATACGGAGGAGCTAAGAGAATGAACATTGCATTTCTTTTCAAAAACCTTTAAAAAGCAGTTTATACTAAATATTTTTTTCACTTTTCTAAGTTAATTTTTTGTTTTATTTTCATGAGTATTTTACATTTCAGTTATGTGATAACTGCAATTTTTCATACGCGAATGAAAAAAGCTAAAGGAATAAAAAATTTTATAACAATGTTGATTTGTTTTTAATCGATACGTTTGACTTTTTGATGTAATTAACTTGAATATCGGAATTTTTTCAGAAAATATCAAAGAATTTTTATAAAAGAAAAAAGTTCTACGAAGGATTATTTCGGTTGAACTTTGAAAGCTGGGATTCAAGCAAGCTCGTTTTTAAGGGTATTTCAAAGCTGTTAAAGAAAATTCTCAATCAATTTTTCGACGGTTGGTGAGTTTATAATATATTTTAATACATTTTTCATGTAACATTTATATAATTGTTTATATAATATATTTAGAGTGTTTTGTTTTTTTACAAAAAAGCGTTAATAATTATAAAGAATGCAAGATGATAGTTCAATATTACCAGTTATGGTAAACTTTTTCTCTATTTTTAACATTTTTACAATGTCCATGGTCATCCACACGTATTTTTCTATTGACAATTAAAAAGTGACACATAAAATCAGACTAATAACCATACCGTGGTTTGCATCAAACGCTAACATACAATTTTATAAAAATCAACAGCACGATTTGTGCTATCGTTATATTTACAATTTTTAAGATGTAAAATTAAAAAAGGTTACGGTCAAACACCTCGCCTTCCATCCCCAGATATCGAGCCAGCCATTTCGCATATTGTATATAAATTAAACCCGGTACAATCAAAATTGCATAAATGCGAATGTTTTTTAGAAATTCGAAGACAATATTTTCTGCCAGGCTACCCGATTGGAGCCCAGTACTTGATTTAATCTCAGAGAATACTTCTTCTGTTTTTCCTTGAATGAAGAATTTGTATAAATTTGACAGCAAATTCTTTGTCCATGGCTTCGGTGGAGTACTGAAGTCTCCAACAAGGGCACAATCTGAAATAAACAAAAAATGATTGCTTTGATCTTAAAAACTCGAGTGACATTTCATTGACACGACGTACTTGTTTCGAAAACGCAACGTTTTTCCTGTCCTCTTTGCCTCCCGGAATGCCAAAGAAGTCCGTCCGAGCATCGATCGTCCTCGATTTGCACCACCAGTTTGTGCTTTTGATTTGGTTCGAAGGACCATTCGTCGTAGTGGCACAAAACGTTTACTCCAGCAGGCACACTCGAAGAAACGTAAATGTCGTTCTGAACAGAAAGAAATCGGTACAACAACCAAAAAAAAAAAAATTCGTACGAAGAGAAGAAATGTCGAAGATCGAGTGCGTACCAGGTTTAATTTACATGTACTACTATGTTCATTGTAACTTATTTGAGGGGGAATTTCTACGTATTGCGTTTTTCCGTAAGGTTTTAGCTGGTACTCGTGGTCGACCAGATATTTATGACTCTTATCACTGATTACTTTTATCTTCATAGCGGCGTAAGTCTTAGGAATTTTAGAAACCTCGACCTTAATCGACACCGGAAACTTGCCTCTATTGTAGTACGAAAACATCGAGAAAAATAAATCATTAGTTAAATGTTCGTTTTATACTTTTTTTCATATTCGATGATTTGTTTCCACTTACTGTTTGGTTCGCGCAGAATAGTTTGGATTTCGTTCGATCCTACATTGGCCTTGGATTTTGCCAATGGTAGTCATCACGTAATCGGTTTCAACGATCTGTCTCGTTGGAACGATCATTTCCCCGGAATCCGTGATAAAACCGAGTCCGTAGCAACCGGTAAACGCGTTCCTGAACAGTAGATCGAGCTTGTATCCCTCGTAGTCCTGTAATTTTATCGTTTTCATCACTTCAATCGATTACACGTATATAAATTTGCAACGTACCGTCGAGTTGCAGCTCTGACCGGAAGGCGGAAAATTATGATCGATCATATAATTGTACTCGCCCGTATCCAGAGCTTCTTCTCGCGGGCAGATGGTCAGTTCGCGACTGAACGTCTGCGAGACTCGTTTCCGTTTGAAGACGTGACGGTCGCATTCCGCGTCGTCGCTTATGCGATCATCGACCATCAGAACTACTCTGTAACGACAGCCAGCTTCGGGGTGCGTATCGAAACGGACTCGCAAGACACCTGAGACGATGAAAATATGGTTATTTTTTCGATCGACGGGTCTCGTCGAGGGGCGAAAAGATTTTCACAACGATTACCTGCTTCGGTGCCGTTCGAGCCGATCGAGGTCAGTGCCGTGTAATTCACCCGCTTCGGTATGTGCTCCGCGCCGCACAACCGACTCGTTCCGCTCGGACTCGTGGGGATATCTTCGCATTTGAGATAAGAGTGCTAGGATACACGGACAAAAAAAATTGAATCTCAATTATCGATTTCACGTAGATCACGATGGATGATACTTACGTCGCACTGATGAGCAGTCAGTGAAGTCGTCAAGTGTAAAAGTAAGTAGGCGAGGGTCAATTTACGTATCAACGACATGATTACGTTTAGGCGTACAGTTGGGCGAGATCAATGCCGACGAGCTGATTCTAACTGAACGATCGTATCCGTTCATACTTGGTTCAAACTCAGATTCCAGTAGAAAATCCCCTCTCGCGCTAGTTCGTTCGGCTATTTATTTACGATAGAATTGTACGCGGTGAAAGCTAAACAATGGCTGTTATTGGGTAAACATTGACCACGATTGTACATCATTCTCCGAAGATTCGTAATTCTTTTAAAGCGACAAATTTTTTCGAGATCGATCGATACTTCAATGAGACGCTTAACAGCAGTAATTGCCTTTTTTAATTAGCATATGTAACAGTAGTAACTTACTTACTGAACTCACCAGGATTCTTCTCATTGGATTTATTTATAAGTTTTGAATTAATATAATTATTATTTCTTTCAATTTTCACTTGATTTACATCTCACTCGACGTGAAAAAATGACACGATATTTAAAAATAATTATTTATATTGAAGGAGTTTCAAAAATAAATGCTTCATGTTTCCATAATAGATTACATAATAACATAGAATACATAAAAAAAGACATGCAATGATAACAATGCACACAAAATTAAATTCATGGGATATTAGCCACATTTTGTTTACTATATAAATAAAAATACTTAACACTTCTCGACGTTTATGGGAGATGTATATTGAAAATTAAAAAAGTACATTGTGCACAAACAAACGAACTCTAGAGGTAATTTAGTATACTCATATTCGCTGTGAATTTTAGTTGCTGAGTTTGATGTTATACGTAGGCATCATAGAGCTTTTTAGAAAAATTTTCAGTAGAACTTTTGGATAACGATATTAATAATTTGATTTTTAGGCTAGATTTGCCATTCACTTGCTTTTATATCAAATTCGTTCGTTTAAAATGATTTAATATTAATTAATTATTTATACCAAAATGAACAAAAAGGAGTTAATTCGATACTACAATTCAAACATTTTGATTGAAAATCTATGTTTTTATTTTGATTTCGTTTTAACGTTAATTTCCCGAAAATATATGAAAACACAATTATAATTAATTCCAACTTCGACCACTAGATGGCGAGTACCTTTGTTTGTAAATCCTGCAAGTGGCAAAAGGAAAATAAATGTATAAGTCAGGTTTTGAAAAGTACATTAAAAATTTCCTTCGCTTTTACATCAATTTCAATGTAAAAAATATTTTTAAACAGTGACATGTTATACAAGTGAGCCCGGCGACCGATTTCCGCAGCGAGGATAAATCCATTCAGATTATATTATGCAGTGTCCAAAAATTGACACACATTTGTAAACCCGAGCTCTTCGCCAGAGAGAGAGCGAGAGAGCGAGTGACATGGAGGCTACATCGTGGCAAGGGGAGCATTAATACGCGCGGGAAAATAATTTAGTGCATTCGACGAGCTCCGGGGCGTACACACATACGCACACACGCGCAAACCTCGAGAGCGAATTTCAAGCTGACACGTTAAATTACTGTGATAATGCGCGCGTATGTATGTGTGTGTGTGTGGGTACGTGGAAGCGAATGCGGCGTGCGTGTACGCACGTATACCAACGCGGAGGAACGTTGTATATATGTATATATACGAAGGAACCACACGAGGATTGCAATGCGTCCGGAGCAACGCAACAACGACGTGCGTGCATATACGTTTTCTCTCTCTCTCTCTCGGTACGACAGCAAATGCCGCATATTCGACGACGCCCGTGCACAAACGTTGTATTATTATACGTACGTACACACACACGTACACAGACGTGGCGATAATGAGTATACAATTTACCATCGTCCTTCGTATACGCGCATAATATAGCATCGATCAACGTGTAGCAGAAGCAGCGATTTTCCTCCTCTTCCCTACGTATACTCGGGCACGGTGCCTATATACACAACTACTACTACTACGACGAGAGAATTGTTATTTCCGGTAGTATACGAGTAACAATGATATGCACGCGTCGTTGAGTGCAATCCCTCACTCGACCAACGCACTCGTATACAGTAAATTGATCGTCTTTTGGCCCGCGCGCACACGTGCAAAAGTAAAATTTTCGGCCATCGCAGCCCACAATAGCGCTCGCGTACACGGGAATTTCCGTGCTAAGAAGCGACACCCCCGCGTGTATAGTAGTATAGCGAGCAGTGGTAGTACGAGGGAAGATTTATTGCGAAACGTGTAATGCGACGAGCTTGCGACGCGCGCAACACCGTCGTCTCGCGTGTGTTACTGCTGCTGCTGATGTTTTTTTCTTCTTATTTCGTGTTAAAAATTATGACAAGGGCGAGCGAGCTGAAAAAAAGGGTTATATACCCTAGTGCGCGCGTGCGCGCAGTGTGACAAACGATCGGACGATATGAAGCAGATTTTTCGTTTTCGACCTTTATATATATTATACGAGAGTCGAAGTAAGAGGGCGAGAAAAATATTAATTTGTCACCTTTGGCCCCATATACCTCTCTTTTACCGTGTACGTGTAGGTGCCTTCGATACGAAGAATTATTAGTTCTCGTCGTCGATCCAATGAGAGAATTGGAGCAGAAAAATAACAAAAAAAAAAAGCAAGCAAGCACGAGGGGGGCTGACGTTTCGAAATAATAACCGAAAACGAGCGCGCGCGCGTGCAGTTCGCTTTCTCACCCTGTATATATATATAGATAGAGATGCACGGCGACTATGAAACCAGATTGACGCGCGGGCCAATACTGTTTGCATTTTTATTGCCTTTTTTTTTGACTAACGATGGGAAAATTTGATGAATGCCACGATGAAAAAGGTGGAAAGAGAAGGAGAGCGCATAGAGAGGACGAGATCGCAGTTAGTAGATACGGTTTGAAAAAATTACAGATGCTACCTGAGTGGGGGCAAAAAATTTTCATAAGCTGCCGCGAGCGAAACATTTTTTCTTTTTTGTTGCTTTTTATTATTTTACTACCATCCACTTTCTCGCTATCTATCTATATACATACGTACGAATGAGCCACGTTTGATAATTGGATTTCCACCTCAAACAGAGATTGAAACAAAAGCGAGAGGAGCGAGTGGATAATAAGAGAACCGATTGTGTAAACGAATCAGCGGTTTTCCATGATAATGTGCGTACTTTTTTTTTTGCATTTTGTCTCCTTTAATACTTTTCTTTCTTTCGTTACACGAGTAGTCGTACGTATTATTATGCCGATCAGGGCGATATCCGCGCGTAATAAAGAAAATTATCCGAGAAATAAAGCAAGTGTATCCGGCCGGTGTATATATATGTAGCAAAGTATCGAGCGCGCACACCGTCGACAAGGCGCGCTCTCGTACGTGTCTTAATCATCTGGTAGTTGAGTCACGTAGCCTTATCTTTGGCAAGTACAGCCTCGATACTTAGAGATTATTTATATAGAGAAGAGCTTCTATCTGCTGCTGCTGCTGCGGCTGTTACCGAGTTTTCCCTGTAATTTCGAGACTGTGTGCGTGAGAGAGAGAGAAAGAGAGAGAAAGCCACCACTGCTATCGCGTGGTTAGTATTGAAAAACTTGAAAAATTGATCATTAGGCGTTTCTTTTTGCGTTCGGAGTGAAACTTCTTTCGGTGTGTTGTGCAAGGGGCCTAAGCCTGAAAATCGACGATCCAGTGCGTGGCTAAGCACGTTCATACGTTACTATACAGTAATAGTTAAAACAGAAAAATATCGAGCGCATTGATTTCATCTCTGGTATTCGTCAAATTTCGAGCTCTTGGGTTGCTTGGCGGTTTCGTTTGTTTACGTTGACTCGTCAACATTGGGGTATGACCATACGTAAATACTATTATTGAGCCTCGTTGTAAATTAAGTTTGCCATATTATTTCAGAATGATAAAACTAGAGTCGGAGAGAACAATCAACAAAATGGAATCCAACGGTACCACCGACTACGCTGCCAAGTAATTATTAATTATCATATGTAAAAAATCGAATATTTTCATATAATTGTTCTAATTTATCGTTATTTTCAGAGTAAAGAAAGAGCCCGAGGATATGTCGCTTCACGAGGATGATGATTATCGAATAGATGACGATACTTTTGATACCAAAAGTTTTCAAGACGAATCAGTAAGTCAATCAAATGTATGTCAATATAATCTCGCAATCATTTGTTAAATCAAATATGTGCTTTACCTTTTATTACAGACTCGTATGTTTAAAAGCAGCCAAGAAACTCACGAAATTCAATCGAACCCCGAGATTGAGATTGAGATCGAATGCGTAGATGTAAAGCCGATTGTAAATTCATCAATACCTAAACGGTTAGATAATTGGACGAAAGATCACTTGCTGGATATTCAAGAAAGCAGTGATTTTGAAGCTAAAGACAAGATAAAAATAGAACCCGAAGATGCTGTGAAAGAAGAATTTTCGTATGATGATATTGATAAAGATATAAGTAATGATTGCGAAATTAACGGACAAAATATAAACATTGATCCTCAAGAATCAGCAAAAATAAATGAAAAGTCTATAGAGCGTGACAAGTGTTTGAAGAAATTTCCCAACAAAAGAAGTCTTAAAATTCACATGAATTCAGTGCACAGTAATAATCTGTATCCATCTCAAGCGTGTGAAAAGACATTTGGACAAAAGGATATTTTGAATGTCCATACCGATTCGATGCATAATAAAATAACTCATGCATGTGAAATATGCGGAAATGTGTTTAAACAAAGAACTTATCTCATTAGACATATCGATGCAATACATCGTAAAATCACTTACCCATGTGATATTTGCGGAAAGACATACTCATACAAGAGTCATCTCAAAATCCACATCGATTCGGTGCATAATAGTGTCAGACATGCATGTAATATTTGCGAAAAGTTATTTACACAGAAGAGTAATCTTAAAAAACACATCTATTCGATACATCGTAAAATCACACATGCATGTGATATATGCCAAAAGACATTCTCAGACAACAGTTATCTCAAAATTCACGTCGATTCGGTGCATAAAGGTGTCACATATTCGTGTGATATTTGCGGGAAGACATTCGGACTAAAAATCAGTCTCAAAAATCACATCGAGTTGGTACATAATGGCATTTCACATGCATGTGATATTTGCGAAAAGACATTCTCACTGAAGGGTAATCTCAAAATCCATATCGATTCGGTGCATAATGGGGTCAGACACGAATGCGATATTTGCGGCAAGACATTCGCACGAAAGATCGGTGTCAAAAATCACATCGAGTTGGTTCATAATGGCATTTCACATGCATGTGATATTTGCGAAAAGACATTCACACAGAAGGGTAATCGCAAAATCCATATCGATTCGGTGCATAATGGGGTCAGACACGAATGCGATATTTGCGGCAAGACATTCGCACGAAAGATCGGTTTCAAAAAACACATCGATTCTGTGCATAATAGTATTTCTTACGCATGTGACAAATGCGAAAAGACTTTTACGCAGAAGGATTATCTCAAAATCCATATCGATGCGGTACATCATAAAATCAAGCATGCATGTGATATATGCCAAAAGACATACTCAGACAAGAGAAATCTCAAAAGACACATCGATTCGGTGCATAATAAAATAACTCATGCATGTGAAATATGCGGAAATGTGTTCAAACGAAAATCTGATCTCATTAGACATATCGATGCGATACATCGTAAAATCACTTACCCATGTGATATTTGCGGAAAGACATACTCAGACAAGAAAAATCTCAAAAGACACATCGATTCGATGCATAATAAAATAACTCATGCATGTGAAATATGCGGAAATGTGTTCAAACGAAAATCTGACATCATTAGACATATCGATGCGATACATCGTAAAATCACTTACCCTTGTAATATTTGTGGAAAGACATTCACACAAAAGGGAAATCTCAAAACCCATATCAATTTGATGCACATTAAAAATAGTTGTGACAAATGCGGAAAAAAATTCGTACAAAAAAGCAAACTTTTTGCTCACATCGACGCGATACATAATCATGTTAAGCCTCACAAGTATAAATAATGAAAAAATCCTTTTTTCATTCTAAACATTCTTCAAATTTTAATCGAATTATCAATGATGTTACGCAAGCATGTTATATTAGCAAACATTTCTAATGTTAAAAAATTGTTTCAAACTTATATTGATTAGTCATCTAACTTATGAAAGCAACGAATATCTAATGAATAACAATTGTTCTGCGTGAAACGTTATTGAAAATAATTGACTCCGATTTAATTTGTTGAGATTGAATTACTATCGGTAAGACACGAATGAAAAATGTAACATTTACAATTCATAAAAAATTTGAACCTCTATAGTATATTTTCAGTGTCAATTTTATATTTTGTATGTTCCAAATTGGAATAATGTAAATCTAGATTTAGTTATAAGATTAATTTTAATTAATTTTTTAATGTAATCAGTGGTTTCTCATTTTGATTCAATAAATTCAGAAATGACACGTATTCATGCGAACAGCGAAAAATTGTCTGAATTCATTGCTAGCTTCAAAGACAGTCATGAAAGGTCATTCAATAAATGTCAAAGAGTACAGTAGTAGTCTAAGAGTTGTGAATTTGTAAAAAAGAGCGTAACTTTTGCAAAGCATTGCTATACGTATTCCGTATACCCAAATGTGTCCTTTTCGTAACGCGAACGAGGTCAGCGCTCGACGCTTTTCGTATCATCAACGCGAAACTGAATTATAAAATATTTCTTCCGTTTACTTTGTATACAAGTGTATAAATATACAACGCGCAACGTTACGCATAAAGCGACGAGTGTCTATTTTGTTTTTTTTTTTGTGTCGTTCATCTTTCCCACCGCTGACGCCGACTCACGGTCACAAAAGCGCAAGAAAAAAAAAGGAAGGAGAACGCGTGACACATAATATCAAGGCTAAAGAGAAAAGGGCCACACGCGCATTGGGATGCGTGAAAAGCTCGCGAGCCCCGCGCGAGTGTGTGCGTGCGTATACGTTTGTGCGGCACGCGCGTTTGTGCGCCTCTTGACAATATTTTAATATTCCTGTTTGCGGCAAACGTATACTCGAGACATTAAAAAAAAAAAAAAAAGAGAGAAGAAAAAACGGCCTGACGCTCGTTAACAGCCGGTGAGAGAGAGGAAATTTTATCTCCTAGTCTTTAATGTATACGCGTACACAAACACAGGCTATATTCGCGTTATAAATGCGAGTCACAGAAATGATCCTGTCGCGACAGAATTAAAAGCAAAAATGGCATCGTACGGTGTGTGGGTATAAAATTTAGTTATATAAACCAAGAATAGATTTAGTTACAGCGAGCGAGGTACGATCGCGATTGACCTTTGGTCAAATTTCGTTCGCTACGTCCTCGATTTTCCAGTTGTTTTTTTTATCGCTGATTGTTATATCCAACTTGAAAACGAATTTTTATAAGCTCCAAGTCGTACCGAAATACGGCTGCGTAAAAGAAGCTCAGGATCTCCATGAAAATCGTAAACCGATAACTTCTCGTATTCTTTACAATCGAGTCAATCACTTTTCTTAGTCTATAAAATCATATTGCAACGTCGGCTAACATTTTCACTACGGATATAATTATTAAAAATATTGCTGCGTAAAGAGTCGACCTCAATAATTTTTTTCTAAAATATATCTAAAAAACACTAAACTATTACCGAATTATAATTAAAATACTGTATATAAAGTGCCATTGTTTTTTTTAGCGAATGCTAACATATTTAATGTTGGGAAGGTATTCAACGCTTGAAATATGTAATTTTACTGCCATTTTTATGTTAAATATTCCAATGACACTTATCGATGGCGCATTGAAAATCCGCAAGTGTCAAAAAAATTTCCGATAAGTATTTATACATTTTTCGGTGCTATGTTCTACGAATTTTCGCTTACGTTAAGTAAGTTTTAATTCTCGCGTACATTACTATGTTTTCAAAGCTTGATTTCCTTACTCTAAAGCTGCTTCTCACCTTTAGATATATATTCAAAAAATTCATAACAAATATTATTTAACGAATTAACGCATATCGATATGTGTGTGTGTGTGTATTAACGTAATACACGCAGTCCCCGCCGAGAAAGAGCGAAAGTATTTTCGGAATTCGGCCGCGAGTCCCGACCGACTTGCGGTACCCGTCGGCCGGGGTTTTGCGGTTTTTCTCTCGCAGCACCAAACAGGCACCACCGCACACAGACGAGACGCAGTAAGTACTTTTCTCGTTTAGGCTTTATCCTCGAGCTTGGCTTGGCGCTGCGGTTATCAGTTCTTGTCTTATACACATTGTATACGTATGTGCATGCCTCCTCCTCTGCTGTGCATATCAGAAATTCTCATTTGAGAATCGGTCCTCGCGAGAAAAAAAAATATACACGTTTTTTGCGTTATACTCGGTGACCCAAAACTCCCTCGATACTTACATTGATTCGTAAATCTCTCGGTGAAGCAAAAAAAAAAAAAAAAATTAACACGAGAGGGAAAAAATATATATATCGAGTCCATAAAAATGATGCCCTAGCACGAAACAACGCCGATGTTTACGCGACGTGTACACACACACACACGCGCGCGCGCTGTCTCTCGTATATGGCGTCGGCGTCGGCGGTGGCGGCGGCAACTCCAAACTGACAATTTATAGCCAATCACGTTGATATGCTTTTACTCGATCGGCACGAGCTCGCGCGCGAGCTTTTCTACGGTTTTATCGATTTTTCTTTTGCACCCTTTACGCATACATGTACTGCGCACAAAACAAAAATAAATAAATAAAAGGAACTTATCAGCGATCCAACGATATGTATCGCGTGAATATTCCGTCGATCCCGTTCACACGTATACACATACCTATTCGTGATATAATCTATAGGACGAAACATCACGGCTTGTGCTTGTACATCCCATTTTGCAAATAGAGAAGTAACATTTTTTCGAAGAAAAGAAGGGGAGTTACTTGAACTTGATTTCACTCAGTTATCAGTCAATAAATTTAGACAGCTTAACAGTATACATTTTATTTTATGAGCCGTTTGTATTAAAATTAAAACCGACTCAGTAACATAATTTTACGTGAACTTTTTGTTGAGTATAATGTATCAATTTTATTTTTTCCTCATAAACGGGACAATTATTTTTAATGCAAAAATGAACAAGTTAGATCAGATCATTAATATTGATTTGAATAATTTTATTGAAAATAAATTTTTTAATATTGATTTGAATTTTTTGTTTCAAGCCCTCAAAAACCGTATGAAAAGTAAATTTTAATTGATGTCAGCGTTCTCCACTAGATGGCGATTGCCTTAACCTACAAATCCGCAAGTGACAAAATGAAAATGATTGCATATATGTTCAAAGCAGGCCTTCAGCAGACAGATAAGAAGGCCATTAAAAAACGTACAATAAAAAAAGAAAAATAAACATACAACATCGCGTCGTTGCAGCCGCTCGACGTTGAGTGCAAGAGGCTATTGAATATTAAACGATCTCCCCGCGTCGAAGCGATTTTCGGCTTTTATAATTGTTAATAATTCAGAAACAGCTCAATTATGAGCTTTAAACCGGTCGACGTGTTCGCGCATACATATCGAGTCGATCAAGCTGGTATAACACTCACGTGTGTGTGTGTGTGTGAGCGAGCTCTCTAGTGCCTGGATTTTGTACAGCACGTATATAGATAAGCGCGAGCCCCGACGCGTATTGGGATTTTCTCCGGCTGTGGTGTATACACGCTATATACACACACCTGCATCATGTCCTATAGCTGTATAAACGAAGAGGCGCGTCAGGAGAGAGAAAGCCCCGAGCTTGGCGGAAAATAGATGTGCCAAGCTCACACACATACACAGACCGTGTTGAAGCGTAAAAGCATTGCCTTGTGAATCGGAATTAGTATATAGAAAGGGATTCTTGTCCGCGTCTGACGCGCCGAGCTGATGCTGACGCCGCTGTTGCTGCATCAGCTGCATTATATACATCGTAGCTGTATAGTACACGTTGCGCGCAGTGCACAGCACTTTTCGCGTCCGACAATTAAATAAGACGCGCGCTCGCGAAAAAACAGCTGCTAAATATTTTATACGCGTCGAACGAGAGGATTGAGATCGATAAATTTGCACGTGAAAGAATAAATAATATACACGCGTATAAGTGCTAAACGTGGCTGCTATATACGCAAGGGTATTATATATCGGGTGGGCGTTTATTTTTATGCTTTTTGTGTGTGTGCATGTGCGAGTCTGTTAGCGCGCGTAGAAGAGAGAGAGAGTTGCAGGTCAAAAAGCTCTTAAGACGATTGCATTTCGTCGAGCAGTAGGAGTGAGGAGCGAGGCAAACGACGACGAAGGAGGCGAGGTAAGCGTTAGCAAAGACGAGGCAAGAAAAAAAAGGGGCAGTAAGGTACGAAAAGAGAGAGAGAGAGAGAGAAAAGAAAAAAGTCGTTACTTTTTATATACGTATATATAGCTATATATGTACGTATGTAGCGGCAGCAGCAGCAGAGAAGTTTTGGGGCGGATGCTTCGATGCGTTGTATAGCCATTGCGCAATAGCCCGGATTGAGTGCCGTGTGTACGGAGTGAGCTTGTGCGGGTGTGGGTGGGTGGGTCTGTGTGTGCGCGCCACACGCAAACTTGCAGCGGCGTAAACTCCCGGAAAAATCTCCGCCACTTTTGTCTTTTCGGTTTCTCGGCTGCTGCTGCGCCAGTAGTCCCTCTCGCACAGCAGCAGTGGCAGCTCTCCTTTTATATACCTTTTTCCCTTTTTTCTTGCTTTATTTTTTTTTTTTTTTCGGAGTATTTTAACCTTCGCGCGTGCTAGTTCACAGCGGCGCACATACACGCACGCACTCGAGCGATTGAATGGAATCGCTTCAATTAAGAATTGGCAAACTGCGTACATATACACTTGCTGTATATTATGCGCATTGAAAATTCATTCAAAACATTTACGTTAGCGCGTCGCGAAACTTTGCGCGAGATACACACACGTCGTGGTCGCGCGTTAACGAACGTAACCGAAAAATCATTTCCAAAATTTTATATGCACAAGCAGCTGCGTATAATAGATGTTTACGTGCGAACGACTCGTACAACAAACGCAGCTTCTACGACTCTGCGGTCATTATATTTCCCTTACACGATTTTACCCAAAGTTGTGACCCTCGTCGCTTGTGTGTCCGCGTACGCTTGTATGCGGGTTTCCGAAAATTTGCAAAACTGGAGACTGTAATAATTTCAATGAAGCCGGTCCGCCGACCTTAATGAGGGGATGCTGCTCGCGTCCAGGTGTGTGCTCGCGTCAAAGTCGTACGACTCTTATATGAGTAAATCCCGTAAAATTTTAATATTCGACCAAGCGTGACAGGCCATGTCGTTATAGTATGCAACTTTTGTCTCCTTTTAAAGGAGGCTCCAAAACGAGTTTTTGAACCCGACATCGTTGCATAATTTAGTTTACGTTATTTTTTAAAAAATAATCACCAAATCCTATGTACTCAGAACCTTTGTAACGTTTTTTTTAATAATAATGGTCATTTAATGGACATTATTATTAAAAAAATAATGGAAAAATGTAGCGTTTCTACTAGGGATCAGGGCGACCTGTTACCTCCGAATCCAACATTAAAATTTCACGGGATTAACTCATATGTACGCATACTGCATCACGACGCGTTCGTCCAATACAATTACATATTTTTCAAATCCAATCAAGATACATACACAGCGCAC